ACACATGCGCTCTTTCCTTCCTCTTACTCCCTTCCCTTCGCGCCAAAGTTAACACAATCTTTCACATACATATCTTTCATTTTTCTATTGTTTGTAGTTAATTCTAAAGTCTCAGCTAATCGCTCTATATGCAAAGAATTCAATGTGAAATTCAATTTTACATTTCATAGCGAACAAGTGATATGAACTATCAAAAATATCATACGAAACTGGATTTACAGGTACAGACCATGAGAATATTCGAAAACTATCTTTAATAATATACTGTTTCACAGAATTAGGAAATGAAAACAAGTCATCATTTTATAAGTCGTTAATAGTGTTTTGGTTGAGGATTTATTGAGGAAATATAAATATATAACGTTTACTATATATAGATTGTTATCACCGTTATAGAGTACGAACAAATGTATTTTAGGAAAATAAAAACAGGTTTCCAGTTAGAAAAAAAGTAGTATTTTATAATCATTTTATAAACTAATACATTTATTAAAATTAACATCATTATCATTTTGATCTAATTTTTTAAGGATGAATTGAACAATATGGATTATGTCATAATTTAATATTACAAAATAGTTTGAATTATACGATACTTATATAAACCTAAAATAATATTATTTCTAAATAACCAAACAGTTTAATGAATAAATGTTAATATTTGATACAAAAAAAAAGAAAAGAAAAGGTTTGGATCAATCAAAGTATTTTGCAAAATTATAGTCAACTGTATTTGAATAAAACGTAAGTACTCGTAAACAAAAATAACGTAAACGTCACTATTTACATAATAAGAAATGAAGGAAGTAAAATATTACTAATTATTTAAGAAGTACGATGGATATATTGATTTTTAAAATGGATGAATTGATTACTTGTTTTAAAAGATATGAATATTACTAATCTTTTCTTTAAGAAAATGCTTCGATATTAATGCAATCTGAATAATGACAAATATAATTCTACTTTTTTCATTTGAAATTAAATTTAATACTGGATATGCAGTAAATAGTTTTTACCTTTGAAAGCACCTTAAACCCACACAATTCGATATATTTAAAATCATTATGGGAAAGGATATGGAGATAAGCAAATATAATAAATAGTATAAATAATAGTATAATAGAAATATTAAGAATGAAGCCTCCACCCTGGATATGAAATTGCGTTCCATGTAACACTGTATCGATCTACCGCTATTTAGCATAAAAATATCCGTTATATTATAAAAAGATTCGGATAAACTGTGATAAACTATTTTTTATATGATATATTATGCAGATCTTCAGATGATATATTATGTATTATCTTTTTGTTTGAAAATGTGTATTTTTGTGTGTTTTTACGTATGTGTGTGCATGTATGTGCCTTTTTACACGTGTGTTTGAATGTCTATATGCACCACTCAAAAACCACTTAAAACCATAGCATATGCGTGCTATCGTAATTCAACAAAATAAAGGAATCATTTTCATTTAAAAGTCACAAATAATTTATCAAAATAAAATTAAAAAATTCTAATTGTATTTCTTTGCTTTATGTATAGGTTTATATTTTAGAATATCAATTTACAGAAGATTATTAATAATTCTTAAAGAGAAATTAAAAGAAATTTTTTGTATGCATCTTTCAATTATAAATAGTTCAGTTAGATAAATAAATAAATGAGTAAATAAAAGCATCCACTGTACATCGCTGAGACGCAGTTATACATGCTTATGCTTTGGGTTATACCCTGTACTAAAGATAGTTATTTGATGTGTAGTAATAATAATAATATTAATAAACGATATTAAGGAAATATATTTTTTGGACATAGAAGAAAAAACAAGGCCAGATGAAAATCAAAGAATAAAAAATAAAACAATGACTTTTTTATGCAAAACTGGAAAAAAGGATCGATGTCCCAAGCAACGAGTAGGTTGGGAGAAATAACAAAAGGCACGCTTTAAATAAAAAAATAGTCAAATATAAAACAAAATCGTCGGATTCGCTTACCGGTGGAAATGACATCTGCTGAGTAACGTGATTAAAGCGTGAAAAAGATTGGGCGCCAGTTGATTGATTGGTGGGATCGTAACCTGAATGTCCACCGTCATGACGACGCCACTGGTCAACCGGGCGTAATTGGTTAAGCAATTCTTGAGCCTCCTCGCGGTTCATTTCACGACTTCGCAAAGCTGCTTCCACATCCTCTTTCTTTAATGACAATATATTGTTTTTATAGATATTTTATAAATATATCTATCATGGCTATAAATTAATTTTTTATATAAATCAATACATAACGCCAATATATTTATTAAACTAAATTGCTGATATTACAACAATAATCAACTATGTATATTAAAATTAATTTTAGATTCAATTTTAAATAAGATGGTTCTTCATAAATATCTTATTTAATTTCAATTATATTTTAATATTATTGATAAAGTACTCGTACGAAAGAGATAGTAAATACTAACCTTGAATCCCATATCACATAGATAACGAAACTCGCGGCTGTTCCAAATGAGTTCCTTAGTAAGAGCGGGTTTAGGCGTATGTCCCCAGCTGCTTGTCGGATCCATGTCCGAGTCGGTCCAGTTACCGACACCAGTCGGGCCCATCGGTTGTGGCTTTTGGTGCTCGTCCCAAAGTGTTTTCCCTGTGCGCGGATCTACGATGTCGCTCATCGGGTAGCGGCGATTGCGTGACTTACTCTCACCCCAGCCAGTGGCTTCGGGTGGACCGTCGGTCCAAGAGCCATTGTGGCCACCGCCTGTGGGTCCACCACTACCGGGGTGAGTGGCCCACATAGGTGCACCGCCACCACCTCCACCACCACCTCCACCGCCTCCTCCAACGGTATCCGGTTTCATGCCTGGCTGACCTGGCATTTGATTTTGAAGCATTCCAGGAGGACATTGCATACCTGGTGGGACAAAGAAGACGGGACCCGTTAAAGCTGTAAATATTATGCGTAAAAAGTAAGTCTTTTATTTTTATGAAAATATGAATAGCTTCATATCAGAGATTAGCGTTATAGACAACCTCATATCTAGAGTAGAGTTATTTTAAATATTATTCTATGATAAAACAAAAACTTTGAAAAAACCGAGAAAATAAAAGTATAAAAAAAGCTTGAATATAAATTTAATAAAGTTGATTAAGAAAAAGTTATAAAAGAAAATGAAATGGAAGAAAAAAATACCTCCACGTCCAAGATTTTGCGTGGGCACGTCTTTCCAATGTGTGACTTTACTGCTCTGCATGGCCCGCTGATTTGTCGCGGGATTTGCCCAGAGACTTGTACCATCATCGTAATTCGGCATATTTCTCCGCTGTGTGGGAGGCGATGGCTCTTCCCAACCGGAAGACTTTACTGGCATCATATCTTTAGGCTGCGGAGCAGACCACTGGTTTATGCTCGATGGCGCAAGCATCTTTGTTGGGGGACCGCTCGGGTGCTGGTGTCCTGGTATTTGATGATGCGGTGGTCCTGAAAATTATCGATAGCATTAGAATGCTAAGTTGAAGAAATTGTTATTTCTATTTCTTCTACACTTCTTTATATACCTTGGATTATCTTTCAATTACAATTTAATATTCGATACGAATAGATAGAATTCTGTACATTCTGAATAAGAATTTAATTTTTTTAACACTTTAAAAATGTAATAATTGTAGTTATCTACAATATTTTTATAAAGATTTAATGTTAACATTTGCTGAAGGCCATCATAAACTGTATCATACCTGGTGGCTGGTTCCACATGGAGTCAGCGCTAGCGCCATTGAGTCTACCTGAGATGCCGCCACGAGGATCACCGCGCATCTCACCGGACATACGTGGATCCCTGGTCATGGGATCGATTACGCGTATGTGCTGCTCTCGAGGATCGAGGGACATACGGTGGTCACGAGGATCGCCACCACGCATCTCTCGTGGGTCTACCGAACGTATCTCACGCGGATCACGTGGATCCACTCGAGGGTCGCCCCAACTCGAGCCCGCTGTTGAGCACAGAGTTTTGCTCGTGGCAGGTGTGAGAGTAACTTAATAGCAGAATGAAATTCAATTTTATTTACTTAAAATTGATAAAAAATTTTATTTATAAATACATGCTTAATTGGAGTGTATTTGAAACCCCGAATTTTTATGTATATTTGTAACTAAAATGCATAGTGCCTTGTTTTTATAAAATTTTAACTATTACTATTGACTAGTATTATTAATTATTAACTATTACTTCAAAATAAAACTAATGAAAAAACAAAGGTTCGATTTACAGCTAGGTTACATTCAATATATTTATATATACAATAAAGGACTTCAAAAACTACAATTTTGTGGCAGAAAAAGGAAATTTAATTAAAAATAAAGATTTGCATCAAAGTTGCACATTTATGTTATATATATATATATATATATATAACATTTATATACATATATAAGAAGTTGCACATTTATGTTATATATATATATATATATATATATAACATTTATATACATATATATTTTTATATACATACATATATACATTAATATTATTTAACACACAGAGCTCATATGGGATACGTACTAAATGTTCTATTGAAGTACTATTAATGATGCAATGTTTTTACATAAATTTAATTACTTAAATTGATTGCATATAGGAAATACTTATTTTCTTCTATACTAAAACAAGTAAGACTTTTATTTTATTTCATTTTTTTAAATTGCTTTATGAAAAAAGCTATTCATATTTTATAGTACTACATTGAATAATTTAATAGCTTTGCAAATGAATACTAATTAAAACTCCAGTAAAAACTATATATCTACAGTTATTTACTAATCTAGCATTATCAAATGGGCTTAAGAAGAATATCAAGTTTCAAATAATAGTTTATTGAAGACGGAAATCGACATTACAATTAATTCAATTAAAAAAATCATTTATTTAACTTTAATACAATCGAGCTTTTATATAATTAATAATTATTAAAATAATTTATTCAATTTTTTATTTGCCTTGAATTAGTGAGCAATTTTAAATTGTATAAGTATAATTTAATACGTTGATATGATGTACAAATGTTCAAATTTAATTAATGTATAGTTGTTAGGTATTTTTTTAATAAAAAATTTTTATTAGGTTAATTATAATATAAGGAATAGCCATATTTTATTAGAAGAAAAGGAATCACTGTATCAGTGTTTCACTTTTCATTAAACAATGTAATGAAAATGTTTAATTTGATCTACTTTTAATCTCTCTATAAATATTTATTTTACGAATAAGTATTTAAATTAATTTATGTAGTTTAATTTAATGTTTGTAAATCGTTACACTTACAATTTGGTCATTTTAATAATACTTTAAAACATTTTTTTATAATAAAATAAGATAAAATGATTTATATTTAGTTACTAAAAATAACATATAATAGGTATTACTGAAATTCCAATAAATTAATTATGATTTTACTAATAATATTTTTAATCTATAGTTTTTAGTTTACACATTCCAGCTCAAGCAGACGTTAATAAATAAAAATAAAAATAAAATTAGACAAGATCAGCAAAGCGATAAAGGATAGACATTTTATAATGTCAGAACCTGATTCAGAACGAAGCGCTTTCACAAGCATACCTCCTCCTCCAGTTGCGCCGCCACCACCCCCGGCTCCAGTCGGTGCAGTCCACATACCGGTTTGATTGCCTGATCCACCAGGCCACTGAGCGCTATTGGGTTGGCTAGGGGCAGGTGCACCTGTCCACATATTAGACGTATCTGCGGTATCGTCGTCCTCGCCCCAAGTGCCACCAATGTTAGTTGATGGAGTATGGCCCCAGGGTGTCTTAGCCTGTTGCTGGGGCGGTGGCTGTCCACCATTGCGTAGATTCGCCTCCCAGAGGTCAGTGCCGTTATTCACAGGCGGCTTCCACATTGGCACGCCATCCTTATTCATATTGGGCTCTGGGGATGTTGGCACGTCCCAATTTGTATCTTGATTCACATGTTGCTGAAAGAAAATAAAATATTTTCATTTAACATAAACATTATTCATATATTACTAAGCAATCTTTTTGTTCACGTAAATATATATATATAAATATATAAATATATAAATTTATATATATAAATATATATATAAATATATATATATATATATTTATATATAAATATATTTTGATAAGGATCAAAAATCTTGTAAATTGTTTTTAGACCGTCTCAAATATTATAATCAAATGCATTAACCATATAGTAGATAATATATTCCGAATTTCCATTTTATTAGAACTTTATATTATATAACCTTAATAATTTCTTGTAAGCTTAAAAATCCGTAAAATATTGATATTTATATTTCAGAATATCGTTATTGAATATTACCGACTATATTAAAATAAGATTATTAATTTTGCATTTACATTGATAACTGATAAAAACTTACACATCCCCAACCATCAGGACTAAAGAGTGCTTCTCTCATGGTGTTAAGTTGCTCCAGCTGATGTTTGGTGGAAGGATTATTGGTAGTGGGTGTTGCCGCAGCACTAACAGCACCTGGACCGGGATTCGCAAGTTGCTGATTATTATTACCGGCAGTTACTACGGGTTGTTGGACTTGCGCCTGTTGCTGCTGGGCTTGCTGTTGAGGCGGTGGTTGCTGTTGTTGCTGAGGTGATACGCTGCTGCTGTTGTTGTTCTGGACCTGGGAATTGTTGGGTCCGACAACGACAGGATTAGCTGCTTTATTGCCGCCTTGTGGCCACTGGCCACCGTTTCCGGCACCTCCACCACTGCCCTGATTCGCTTGAGTTTGATTACTTGTTTGAGAAGTAGGTGGTCCTGCTTGAGTATTTGATCCTAGTCATTAAAAAAATATAAATAAAATATTTTGTAGATCCATAATTTTACTCTCACTAATTTTATGATGATCTTTATAAATATATATATGATAGATAAAACAGACATTTTAAAACATCTAATTGAATTTATTCAAGACATATCTGCCATTATTCAATCTTATTAAAAGGCTTATCTTTTTGTTGATTGAAAGGTGACGCTTATTTATTAAATTTAGTAGATTCATTAAATAATTATACTTATTTTTTTACCATGAAATTATAATATTTCACATATAATAAAGTGCACTTGAATGGTAATTATTTTGATATTAAATGTTAAATTTATTTAAAAACAGGAATAATTAAAATATCTAAGATATCCCTTTATTGCTATTTAATTCAAAATTAAATAATCATTATTAATGAAAAATAAAAAAACATTACAATTAATTGATTACTAATTACAAAATCAGAATTAATAATTGAAGGATATGTAATAAATATCTCTCAATATACATCATTTTGGAAAAAAGAAAACTTCAAATGACTAACTTTTTAATCAAGAATTAATACCTGGATTGGATGGTGGTCCAGTTGGACCTTGAGTTTGGGTTTGATTGGGATTCTGGTTGGCAATTTGATTGCTAATGGTTCTCGGTCCAGGAACACTCTGCCAATTACTGGGTGGCCCTGCTTGGGCACCAACGACTGGTTGATTACCGGGGGTGCCACCACCTCCGCCACCCCAACCAGACTGTGCTTGATTATTATTGTTGGGTGTTGTAGTTTGGGCGGAAGCCCAGCTAGCAGCGGCACTGTTGTTAAGAGAACTCTCACCACCCCCAGCAAGGCCAAGAATCGGAGCTATACCCCAGCGTTGCTTATAGCGGAGGATGCTCGCGGCGCTGGTGTATTTTGTCAATATTGATAATGATGATAGTGGTAATGGTGGTGGTGGTGTCGTTGTGATAGTCGTAGTCGTTTTTATGCTTCTAGGCGTACATGAGTAGCCGCGAGTTATTAGCAGGGTATTCAAGGCCTCCTTCAGTCTCGTGAATTGGCGCGGGTTGCGTGCCGTACGGTAATTGGTGAGGAGATCCTTGCAGTCTTCCACGAGGCTAGCCCCCGTCTTGCTCTCCCTCGTCATCATCATTGCATTGTCACTTAATTTCTTATCCTGTTAATATGGTATATATTGTTAATTTGTACAAAATCGAATGAATTTTATAACTGTAAAATTTAACAGAAGTCATTTTGATATTTTCATATTTGGTCTACTAAATTAAATAAATTGTCTTGCTTATTTAACTAAATTATAAATTTTATTTAAAAACTATAGAAATTTCAATATGCGCACAATATAGATGTTCTGTAAACTTTGGAATTTACAAAAATTATAATTCTTTCAATTTGCGAGGCTTTGAATATAAATAAATAAACGAAACGGTGCTAGGTTACCTCATCCTCGTGATCGTCAAGATTAAGATGCTCATATTGAACATCAAAACGAGATTTGGCAGGTACATCGTTCGTTTGGGATGTGACGATGGTCGATTGGCATGTAAGCGTCATCGTAGGCTCGCAGGTAGTCAATATAGGAATGTTTACGGTCGGCCGCTGTTGCCGCTGACCAACGTCATCCTGGCTAATAATTTCCTCCCACTCCTCTTCGTTCCCATCGGCCCGTGCACTAATCACCGGCATCAGACCGTGGGTCACGTTATCTTTACCATTTACTATTACAACATCTGTGTCAGACTTATCGCTAGACTTAACGCTCGGCGTAGACTTAGACAGAGACTTAAGTGTTAGGTTAGATTCACGCCCAGGCGCCGGCTCCACCTTCCGCTCTTGATCCGCTGCCACGGGCGCGATACTCTTAAAGCTAGTATTTAGAGGCTCGTTAGACTTATTGTTATCCTGAAATGAAAGAGCACCAGCAGTACATATTGTTGCTTCGGTACAGCTAATACCATCGATTATTCTCCGCGACGTGTTTACGAGCATGACCCCATTTCCTCCCGTCAATCTCCTCTTCGTCGTCGTAATCGTCGACGGAGTGCCTATCGTTAATGGAACACATAATGCGCTTATTAGTCGTCGCGGCAGCTCAATAGCAACGAACCCCCATCTGTTGTGGCTTCCAACGATCTCAGCACCGGGCAACCGCGGTTCGCGTCTTTTGGAAACGATAAGCGTAATGGAAGAACTGGCCGTGCACGCAAGACCTGGGCTGTCGCTACAGCGGCGGTGGCGACGGTGGCGGTGGCGGCGGCGATGGCGGCTGCTGATGCTGTGACGGTGCTGTCGTACTTTCAGCCACTGCATTGCGGCGACATTGTTGCTGCTCGAGCTGAGCGATATCACAGACTTGGAGTTATTCGGCTTAAAGTAACTTACATGACTATTCTTAGCCTTAAGGTTAAGGGCCCGCTGGCCGTCAGACTTGGGTATCCTAACTAGGCTAGGTGTTGGCTCTATCGAGAGCCGGTTATTCTTCTTCTTCTTTTTCTTCTTCTTCATCATCATTATCATCTTCAATTTGTCCATAATGCTAACTACGGCGGTAGCTGCAGCAGCAACGTTGCCGCCGCTCTGTCTGCTGTTCTTACGACGAAATCTTAAGCTTAGTACCCTAGGGCTTACTGAGCTAAAGCTATCCTTATTATCACTTAACGGCTTAGACGTAGACTTAGAATTAGCGGCTTGGCTGGCTGGTCGTGGATGTCGCATACGACGAGCCTCGGGCCAACAACGTAATATGTTGCTTTGCTTTCTGCACTTGTGATGATTATGTTCTGCATTGTTGTGTTTGCTTATGGTGGATTCTTCTTCAGCTTCTTCATTTTTATGATTATTTGCTTTATTATTGTTGTCGTGGCTGCTCGTCGTGGCAGCAGCAGGATTGGTGATAATAGTAATGTCGATAGCCTTTGCAGCTGCTGCTATTCTTATTGACGATGACAACGATGGTATTAATGACGATGATAATGCTGCTGCTGCCGAAGGTGACCGCCAGGTCGAGTGCGCACCGGCCGAACCGAGCTCATCTAAACCAATTTAATTTTCTCTATATTTTATTTTATTTGTATACGTTAAAAAAAGCTTTTCATTTTCACTTTGATCGAAGTAACTCTAATAATTTCACAATTTTCTTTGATCATACATTCCTAATACTTAGCATATTTTAAAAAAGGAATTTATTTCCTTAATATAACATCTAAGTTTGCTCATTCTGTAGTTTAAGAATTGTAAAAATGATACTATTAGAGAAACTAATTAAGTACATATTAAATATGAATAAAAAAAGCAAAATATGCATAGCAGATAATTTCTGTTTGACAGAGCATTTAAATTTTAAGCATTCAATTTAAATAATGTATTTAAACAAATTTATTGATTGATAATATATTTCTGGCACGCTTCCAAAACAAAAATCAAAGTGGTTGTTCTAAATAGATTTTCAATAACAAACAATAAAAGATATAAGTAAATGTATTTCATTTAATTTAATATATATAATATATTTAATATATAAATTAAATGTATTTAAGCAAAAAACTGGCTCTGAACATTTTCAGTTTTTTGTAAATTTTTCGTATTTACAGGAAAAAATAAAAAAGAATTATAATAAAATTAAATAATAACAAAAAACAGTAACTATAAGTGCAAAGTAATAGTTCGTAATTAATTCATATTCTTCCGTTAAAACTAACAAAGTTTTAATAGTTGCTACATCGATCAACGTATGAATTAACACTCAGCTTTTTTTGTTTTCGTTGATAATTGATCTCTTGCCAAATACTCACCAGAATGGCGTGACAGGACGGTTGAGAAGTCATTGGCGGCGGTAGCTTCGGGGTGACTGGTAGGTGCTGCCATCGTGCTTCTGCTGCTGTTTATGAATTCGATATCACAGTACCCAGCGTCCTCTGATCCGTTCCCCTCCCCCACCCCACTCAGACTGCTTCCCTCTAATACTACTACATCACCCTGAATGATGAGATAAACAAAGGCATTAGGCGAAGGTTCAAGGTTTATTTTATATGAATCGTATGATTCGGGCATCATCTTAGCAGTAAGATCGCCCATGCAAATAAGCTTCTAAAGCTGCAATGTTGAACTCACTCGCGCTGAGTAAACCGTAAGTATCGGGCAAATAAAAACATGTATTTGCATAACAATTAATAACCTAAATAGATGAATTCGTAGTTAAATTGATATTTCATTAGCAAAATTTTATTGTAATATTTATTTATATTTTACACATTCTTTACAGATGTTATAAAGAAATCATAAAACTTATATCAAATTAATTTTGAAATAAATATGGATATTCAATAAAAATAACATTAAGGATATGGAAACATAACAAAAACTGCTAGAAATCAGTTTTTTATTGAAATATATTATTTTCTAAAAGGAAAGTTATTTCATTTCAATATATTGTGTTAAAAAATTTTAAGTAAATGATTGTTTTGGAAAAAATGAGCAATATAATATTATTTTCTGATAATTTAAATGAATTTCGAAACTTTATAATACACCGGTTATTCTTTCAGTTGTTTTACGATTTATTTAATTGATTTATATTAAATCATAATTCGAATAGCCAATATTTACTGTTTCGCTATGATTGGCGTTACACGGATCCAATTAATCATATTCTTAAGCTGATAATACAATTATTTGATATTATATTGAATGTTTTCAGTTCATAAGTATACACATACTTATATAATATATACATAATAAAATGCATGCACAGTATATGTTGACATATGTGAATAATTGTTTTTTAATACATGTAGGTAATTATTATAACTCTTGTAAGTAAATTTATGGAACTATTTAGCAATTTGTTATATAATAGGGATAAAGGACTTCGAATTACGAAAGAAATAATAGTATATCTCACCTTGGAATTTTGTACGAAGGCATTTGTTTCGGTAGAAATCTCATATGAACTAGAATTGTGTGGAAACATTGGGCTCAGTTCTTCTTTGGCAGGTAATGCATAGAAACCAAGATCTGTAAGTATCAAATTTTATTAAAAGCTCGTTGAAAGAACAACAATTATATCAAATTTAATTTGTTTTTACTACCGCCTGCAATACAATGCAAAAGTATCAACTTAAATTTGGAAACATCCAAAACAATATTAACTATTAATGTTAATTTAAATACATCATATATCTCTTAATTTTATTTAAAATTCGTGAAGATCTCTAACATTAAAAATAGAAGATGTTTACCTTTTGAACTATCGCTGTCAGTGCACTCCTAGCTCCATGCCAGTAGAGATCTATAATAAAAAAATAATGGAGAATTAAATATTCATTTTTTAACGTAATTAAAACGATTAGCCTACTAAAATAATGTAGTTTATTAAAAATTTATAACTATATTTCATAAATTACGGATTTTAATAATTGCACCCTAGATACAAAGAGAATACTGTTTAACATAAAACTTCATTAGAAAAAAATAGCAGACAATGTCCATTAAAAATTTATATTATTTAATATATATTATATATTATATTAACCCTTTGATTGTTTGATGATTATATTGTATAGTCTATTAAATTGTAAAATAATTAAGCATAACTTGATAATCAAAATTTCAATTGACTAAAAAACGACAGCGCATCAGCGCAATAATTGGGACACAACTGCTACGTATATTATGCTCACCCCCTTACATGCGCAAGAAGACAACAGACCGAGAAGGCAGGAGGGTTAGTTGAATAGAAAGGAGCTCGAGCTCGCGTTCAAGGTTTGTACCAAGTGCACGTGCCGCGAGACACTAGGGGTTGATGCACACAATTGCGCATGCGCGCACACACACAAATCCAGAACTTCAAACGTAAAAATAGAGAGGCAGAAGGAAGTTGGGAGCATGATGTAAAGACGGCGAAGAAAAACACTCCAGGTGCTTTCCCTGGGTGTGCTTTATCCCCTCTATCACCGTCATACTACTATGGCAGTATATATATATATATATATATATATAGCGATGAAAGGAAAGGAAAGGCATATATAATGACAAGGGCAAGGAAAAAGAAGTACTGTTCCATGGAACCTTCGCGTGTAGAGTATAAAAAAAAATATTTATAGAAGTAAGACAATAAAATATATGTGCACAACATACTGTCATATATCTTAATTATTTAATAAATCAGCAGATAATTCATGAAGAAATTTGTAAGTGCCTCTGTCAATTTTTATTCGCTTTTCGTGCAAAATAATAAATAAATTTGATATTTTAATATGGATTGAAAAAAATGAAATTATTTGTATCGATTATTTATTGAACATTTTTACAATATCGTAAGAAAATAAACCATTTTCTTACGGTAATTTAATATAGAACAATTGAATCCAACTCGAACTTTAGCTTAATGTACTTAGAAAGTTCGTATAAATGCACAAAATTGAAAATTATATTTTATGCAATTCTATTGAATCATTCTAGACATGAAATTATCACCGATTAACAGAATCAACTTTTTACATATTCTTATATTATTGAACTAAATATTAAATATTATATAATTTTATTGAAGAATGACATGCTTGATTTTCTATTATTTAAAATTATTATTTAAATTTCGTCTATACAACCTTCAAAATGAAGTTTTATATAATTTTTATAAAAATGGGACCGTTATAAATAAACATTTATGAAAAAAGAAAATATTTTAAATTCCTATAACAAATTATGGTTATTGCGAATAACAGGTGGATACATTATAAAAAACAATTAAAAAATATGAGAGGATAAAGGTACATAAATTAAAATAAATTGAATTTAGTTATTGAAAGAAAAGGGTCACGAAAATATTTGTTTAAAAAATTACAGGTTTATTTAATGGTAATAAAATTTCTTATCTAAATTATTAAATCGGATAAAAAATAAATTGATAGAAAAAATTGATTTTATTGTGTAGTAGAGATTTTGAGCAGTTACTGTTTATATAAACCTGTGTATAGTTTTGTAAAAAACGAAAAGTAATCACAACACAAAAAAGCCAAGACAAAATCAAATACGAAATATTCTGGAAATAATATTTAAATGTATTGTAAGTAAATATCAATAGTCAGAACAGCAAAATTCTATTATATAGATATTCGCTAAACATTTACTATGAATATGCACTTGGTTTTATGCGCAAGGTGCGCGGGAAACATTTTAAGGCCGCGCAATTGAATTTTACTTGCGTAAGTTTAACAACACTATTACTGAGCTCAAATTATTATTGTAAGTGAAAGTTTCCTTATCGGTGTTTTTTTTAACATATAACTAATAATTAAAAAGAAAATATTGGTATATGATTATTAAGTATATTTGTATAGCAAGCACAGTTATCCATCTACGAAATGTGTCTTTAACATCGATTTTCCATGTCTGTTGGTGCACTTGGTGTACTCACAAGTGCATCAACTACAGCTGAAATTATCTCCGTGCAATTTTACACTGATGCATAGATACAGAGAGGGATGAGGAGAGGGGGATCAAGAGAGAGAAAGGAAAAAGAATAAAGAGAAAGATAGGGACGCAAACCTGAAAGCGCACACATCGCAAATTCCTGGACTAGGAGTGGAGTTGGCGAGTGAGCGAGCATTCGAAAGGTCGTGACGACTATAATCTAGAGGTGTAAAGAGAGCTTAAGAATTTTAACTCTATTTTTCCTCTTTCGTATTCTCTTCTTCGACTTTTTATTTTATGCAATCTTTTTTCAACTATTTGTACATTTCCCTTCACTTTTCATTCGTTTTCTGCTTGGCTTTAAGAAATGAAATTTTATTTCTAGCGTGTGTGACTAGTAGTCGATTGCTCTTACGAAATAAATTAACAAAAGTGTCAAATGAAATAACCGAGTATGAACATATGTATTATACATCTGTAAAAAATAAGATATTTGAGTTAATATAAAAAAAACTAGGCAAGATTTAAAGTTAAATAGCCAACCTTGTTATGTTAGTACTGTAACCATTATCTATGTAAATAATTTAAATTTATATTTTTCGGAACTTACAATTCAAACCTGAATGAG